TGACGCGGGTACGTTCCGGTATTACCGGACCGTACCAGGGTACGTTCGGCAGTACCCTGGGGGACATAACCTATGGCTATGATAGTATGACTATGAGTATGAGCCTTGCTATTAATGTTGAATCGTATTTGACATTTGTTGAATCGTAGGTCTCATAAAATTCAACACAGAAAAGTTGCAATTGCATTGTGTGCGTTAGTGTGCAAAATCATAATTGTCCAGTTGAAACTTTCCCCCATATAACTACACGAGATAAATTGTTAATTACAGCCCCAAGTACTAACTATAATCTACGTAACGTATGAACGAGAATTACAGTCTTTCAAAACGTGCTACTTACGTTTGTTGATGCGGGAAAGTGGCCCCACCTATCGTCAAACCCAGCAAGCTAATTTGAAACCCTTCTAATCAATTTTACTCAAGTTTTTAATTTTTGAACCTAATGGGTCAGATAAGTGAATATCGGTAAGCTCATTGCCTGACATACATTCTTAAAAGTCTTAGGAACGGATACGAAGAAGGGGAGAAACAACGTGTTGACCAGGCGTGTTGATAGATCCGTGTGCAGGACGCACGTGCGTCTTGCAGTAGAAAATATAACGTCGGTATTCCTGTTCTATTATAATTATGTATCGGTACTAGAGAAGTCCTAACATTTATCTTTTTTATAGTTCACTTCTGTTGGTCAATATTATCTGGTTTCGATCCCTATGGGTCCTATCAGGGGCGGCGCCAGGGTATTTTCTTAGGGGGGCGTAACCAGCGTGCGTGTACAAGAGCACGCTAAGGGAGTCTGCGGGGCTCTCCCCAGAAATTTTTTGAAATTAGACCCCCTCAGATGCGTTTTCTGCGCGAGTTGGTGGGGTCCGCGACCCCTGGACCCCCCTGTACACGCCCCTGGGAACTGTAGACTCTGATACCCGTGTGCGCTTGCACTGACGGGTGGGGTCGAGGGGGTAGATTCATGATTCATCAAGCTGCGTACGCAAAATATTTTGCGTAAATCTTGTGTGCGCAATCGACGTTGCTTAGTTGCGATTCATCAACACAGCTATTTAGTAAATTTTTGTACGATTTCGCGTACGCAAGCGAGGCCGTTTAGTGCGATTCATCAAGCTAAAATTTACGTAAACCCTTGCGTAACTTTACACGAGCTGACGAGGTGCCGTAAATCACTCGAAATTTCGCAGGTGTTTCCAGCATACCGCAGCATGCATTATTTTATTGAGAAAACATTATAAAATTACTACTCAACTAAAAATAAATAAATAATTACCATACTACACAGACAGGCTGCGCCTTTGACGCTTTTTTTGTCATAGCTTGGCATTGTTTTTCGCTTATAAGCGAGTTCGCAGTTAGCCGTGTACGTGCACATGCCGTGCGCACTTGTACGTGCACACGCACGCACTTGTTACGTGCACACAAGCACGGACTGTACGTACACACGCACGCACGCACGCCCGTGTACGTACGCAAGCACGCACGTGTACATGCACACACACGCACGCACGCACGTGTACGTGCACACGCCACGCACGCACGTGTACGTGTCGCTGCTTTTCATCGAGTGTTAACACAATCATACAAACGGAAAATGAGGACAACTATAACACATCCCCAGCACTCTGTAGACAGCTAGAGCCATATGGCTTTACATACAGAGACGGCGTCAGTTGGTTCCTATGCGTATGTGTCGCACAGTGGTGATTGGTTATGCTAGGCACGCCCCTCAACAGCCCAGCAGCTACGATGGCCGTAGGGTGATTTACACCGGAATTCATCAACATTTTGGTACGCAGGTGCTACGCTGCGTTGATGAATCGCACCTACGAGCTTTGCGTACGTACTTCGTAGTATATTACTATGAACTACATAGTACGTAGTTACATAGTAGAAACTAGTGCACGCAATACACTTTGCGCAACGTTGATGAATCCCGCCCAGGGGCCCGCCTTAGTGCTCTGGCCGGGTCCAGGGCAGAGCCCCTGGCAGGGGTCCGGGAACTCTCAGATAAAAGCCCTCAAATTTCTGACAAAAAAATTGTGCAGCGGAACAAGAGCAACAGTATACCAAGGAGATGAAACCCGGGGGGGGGGGGGACTCAGCCACATTATGGTAAGGTATCGGTATGTGCCAAGTTAAAAAAAAGGGGGGGCTCTGCGAACTAACTCAGACCTGAAAATGGTGGTCTCTGCGAACTAATGTTTGTGAATGTGGTATGCTCAGGAACCGGCTATGTTCGAAAATGGGGCTCCGGAACTAGCTAGGATTTCGTTGAAATTCAATGCTATGAACTGGACACGTTTTAAAAAGGGGGTCTCCGGAACGGTGGGGGAACAGTGATTTGGCTTTAAAATCTATGCTGTAGCACTTGAACCAATAATTGTTGTATTATGTAGAGGAGAGAAAAACATGACCGGAGAGAGATGAACGCACGCCACAAGCACGCACACACACACACCACACACACACACACACACCACACACACACACACACACACACCACACCAACACACACACACACACACACACACACGCGCGCGCGCATACACACACTAATAAAAACTAGACAAAGGGCACTCAACGGAGAGAGCATACCTCGCAGCGCATACGCCATACGCCATGTCGACTCACGAACACACGAATAACCACGATATACGCCAGCGTGCACGTATGCTCGCTCGCGCGCCAGTCAGCAGCAGCCGGCTGCGGCTGGGCTCGCTCGCTGACGCACTAATATCGATCGCCGTCACACACACACACACACACACACACACACCACGACACACACACACACACACACACACACACACACACACACACACACACACACACACGCTAACGTGTACACGAACCACAGACCCGAATCACATAACCTCGCTCCACTCGTGGCGGAGGTAAAAATAAGATAGCATGTAAGACTATATTAGAGGTCAGTCTGAACGTTTGTAATTATAATTTATAAGCTTGTTAACACCTCAAGTGCTGCCTACCTTTCCGCCCGGGAACCAGCATCATCGACAAAATGATGGTCCCAACTTGGACTCCCAAGGGATAACACCTTGACATCGATTATCAATTAAGCACAGGTTTTCTATGGATTGAATTTTCGACACTTAATTTTTCGATTTTTCGATGAAAGTGCCGTCCAGCCTATTTGATATGGTTAGGGTTAGGGTTAGGGTTCGGGTTCGGGTTAGGAGTACCTCGGGGGACATACACATAGACCCTCTCAGCATTAGCAAGAGATACCGGTACCGTATTTTACTTTCACATAGCACTTAGTGTCGGCCCATTCCTATTTGACAACCCCAGGTTTAAAAACCCTAACCCTAACCCTAACCCTAACCCTAACCCTAACCAAACTCACGACATGGGTGTGTACACGCTACTTGTACCCTTAGTGTCCGTAACATAATGATTTATGATAATGCCTGCTCAGAAATCATAGATCATGTCTATTGCTATTGAGTATTGTATAATTTGTTTAATCTTGACATTTTCACGTTTGTAGGACAAAGGCTTATTAACCAACCAACCTGGGTGGATATGGATACACTGTCAAGTCACGACTTGTGTAGCGATGCACACGTACCACATAGGAAACACAAGAAAAAGAAGAAGAAACAGAAGAGAAATCACAACGTAAATGTTGAGGTTTCATACGAAATAAGTGACAATCCTAGCACCACCAGTAAAACTACTAATGAGTATGTGAAGAAGAAACGAGGTGATGACAGCAGTGTTACACCACCAGTATCCAACAGTAAAACAAAAAAACATAAAAAACACAAAAGAAATACAAAGATTGGAGGATGTGAGGGGCCAAAACATAAACGTAAAAAGTTGAACGAGTCTAGAAATGACAGTGAGTGTGAAGCTGATCATAAAAACAATGAAAGCATTCCTGTACAACAAACCAAGGAGTCTGTAATAGAATCTGATAGTGTGGTGGCTACTGGTATTTCGTTCTCATCAAAGAAGAAAAAGTCCAGTAAACGAAAACAAAATAAACGTGATCCCAAACTGTCAGACGACGAGAAAAATTGTGATATAAACGTTGATTCCTCAAACGTCAATGGAAGCAGTAGCACCGTTGAGTCTCGCAGACTAGTCGAAGCCACAAAGACTCCCAATGCTTCATCAACCTCCCGAGAGGGCGACGCAGAGCTCGAAACAACACCACCAAAATCAACCACCAGAGCCGTCGAGATCCACTGCACACCTACAGCCACTCCCGACGCTGCACGACCGATACCCACAAGTCACAATCCTAACGTGAGCGGCACGACACGACCCCCCGCAGCGCACACGCAGCGAGAAGTGTTTCCCTATGGTAACTACGTGCGTTACTATGGCTACAGGAACCCCGACAACGCTGATCATAGGTTCGACGTACTTCGGCACGAGTGGTTTCGTGACAAGGACGTCCTCGATATCGGTTGCAACACGGGACATCTGACGCTGCTTGTTGCCAAGGAGATGAAACCTCGAAAGATCATTGGCATCGACATTGATGGCCAGCTGATCAAGATCGCGCAAAAAAACGTTCGGCACTATCTTCCCAGCAGTCGGAAGGGGTCGACGTTTCCCGTGTCTTTCCCGATGTCGTATGGTTTGGTCGGGAACGTTTCTGCGCAACCTGGCAGTGTTACAGAGTTTCCAAATAATGTTTTGTTTGTCAAGGTATGGGTCTGCTATCTTTCTATTGTCATTGGCAGTAATTGAATGTGAGTTTCTGCATTTCTGTGGCCCCTTGCGCAGATGAATCGTTGATAAACCTCCGAGCTTGTAAACAGCATGAATTCTCTCATTGCAGGGGAACTATGTGCTGGATTCGGATGTACTGCTAGAGATGCAGAAGCCTCAGTTTGACACAGTGCTTTTCCTCAGTACGAGTAAGTGGATTCAGCTGAACTGGGGCGATTCCGGACTCAAACGCACGTTCAGGAGGATGCTGGCACAGCTGCGACCCGGTGGTCACCTTATCATGGAAGCTCAGCCCTGGAACTCGTATCATAAGAGCAAGAAGATAAATGTGAGTATACCCCCAATGACCAAATGGCTAACAATTGTAAGTTGGACTGAATGCATTAAGGCTACAATGTTTATTATGAACAGACAAACCTGTTTATATATATGTCATTCAAAGGAAACTGCAAAAGTGTCCTTTCTGTAGGGGTGGCTGCTAACAAAGGTTTAACTGTATGGTTATGACCAGATGATTGATAATAACTTTCATTCTTTTAGGAAACCATTGCTAAGAACTATCACGGTATAACCCTGAAACCAGAGGAGTTTCCTGAATATCTATTATCAAGTGAAGTTGGCTTCGCGAGCTGTGAGCACTTGGATACTCCTTACAACCAATCAAAAGGTTTGTTTCTGTTTATAGCATGGTGACAAGTCGGTGTCATGAAGCGAAAATACCTACAATCAATATACATGCTAGTGGAAATGCATGTAATCTGGAGGTGAATTTCTCTTGCTGCCTATTATTTTTTAGCTCATCTGACATAGTCAGATGCAGCTTGTAGAATCGCATGAGCGAGCGTCCGTCCGTGCGTGCGTGCGTGCGTCCGTCCGTGCATCCGTCAACAGTTGGGCACAAATCTAAACGGCTCGACGTACGGATTCGAAAGTCGGGACGTGGGGGGTAATCCGAAAACGAGTTGGGATGTCGAAGCTGGGGGGTCAAAGGTCAAAGGTCAAGAGGTGTAAAAGAAGGGGGAACATTTCATCCTTAACTTAAGGTATAGGGAGGAAATGCAGAATTGCGGCACAAATCTAAACGGCTCAACCTAGGCTCGTGATAGTCGGTGTATAGCATCATGGTAGGAAAAACCATCACTGTGCCGAAATTGGAGGTCACAGGTACCATGTCCTCAGAAAATGTCTAAAATCTGCCCTGTGCCCCATTGACCTTTGCTGACGGAGCGATTGTGAAACAAAAAAGTTTTTGCGGTGACCTACCATTTTTATGGCTTTATTGAAAGGACCATGAAATGTACTTTCCGCTGACATCGAAGAGTAAGTGTCGGATAACCTTTTGACCCTCAAGAGGAGGGTTAAACATTGATTTGTTTTCTCAACTGCGTTGGCGAGTACCTGTGGTTGTGAAAGCCCCATTTTACAGTGAAATTCCACACATAACTCTTACTTGAACAACGCTTACTTAGGAGATAATGAGATGACTTATATATGAGATTCTGTAGTGTACATTATGAATAGTTGGAATACAGTCACTAGCACTCAAATAATTACCCAGGAGTGAGGCTGGCGATTTCCAGACTTAATTTTCTCATCAAATTTTGGCACCAATATAGATGCAAGTGTGTACGTTCTTGAGCTTATTCGGTCCACTAATCACTGGCCTACCTTGTACTGAAATTAGTTTACAGATATTTGCTATCGTATTGCTGTAAATTGTAATCTTGCACGAGCTGCTCTGGTTGTATCAACCATTGAGCTATTTGTAACGAGCCAGATGTGCCTCGCAAGGGTTTAATGTACCTTATTACCTGACACCATAGAACGCACGTTATCTATAGTAATAATATGGTAATTATTCGCTCCTGCCTTTTTGCATCTGTCATCACACTGACAGCTGCCATGCTTTGGCTGACCGATGCAACGATGCCTTTGATAGCGCCCGCCATCTATCGAATTTTATTACACTAGTTTGAAGTGTTGTTTTTTTGGGTTAGAAATGAACGTATGTATAGGACGTCTTGCTATGCACAAATGAATTGATCAGCAGAACACCAGACACCAGATGAGCCCTGTCGCTCTGCGGCACTTGTTTGAAAGAAAGAATCAACGTTGTTGTTTAATAGGAGCACACGTTTGTTTGATGTTCAGGTGTATTTATGTTATATTTGTTTATACCCACAGGTTTCCAGAGGGCCGCTCTACCTACTAACAAAAGCGAAGACCCACCTG